ACTGCCAGAAGAATTGTTTGGGATACAAAGGAAAACCCATAGGTAACCACAAGAAAAATGCAGGCTGCTCTGGAAAAAGACAGTGCGGTTGTTTTGAAAGCGCAAAATATGATGAAATTTGAACACAAATGAGCTGGATAGTCGAGGTGCCAGAAAGAAGCCTTTAGGCATGTCAAGGTGTTGTCAGGCATATTGTAACTGAGCTTTTTTTGTGGCATTGGTGCAGTAAAAGCTTCTTTCTGGCACCTCGACCAAACAGCTCATTTTTGTTCAAGTATCACCGTATTGTACTCCTTACAAACAGCCACACCATCTTTTTCCAGAGCAGCCTGTATTTCTTTTGAGGTTGCCTGTGGGTTTTTGTTTGAATCTCGGACAATTCTACTGTCAGTTATGGCTGCAATCTTTCTTAGTCTACCTGACCTTGGCTTGGTATCAAGAGATCCCTGAACTTTCCACTATTTAATAGGTGATTTAACAGTACTGATTGGCATATTCAACTGTAACCATCATATTAAAGGGCTCATTTAAAGTACACTATAAAAATTACAATCTCTGTAAGTGGAAAACACATGAAACAATTGGTTTCTAGGTGCACTGTTGAAGCTTAAACACAGCCTTTGGATGAGCTGCAGTGTAGAAATCTACAACATGTCTGCATTTTTTCATCCCTCAATTATGTTTCTGTCTCTGTTTGTAGCACAGATCAGCTGCTTTGGGGTAGTAGTCAAAAGGCAGTAAGATTGCAGCTTGGACCCCTCTTGACCATGCCCTGTCCTATCTGTACAAGGAACTAAACCAACCGCCCAATGACTATATCCCACCATTTCTTCTCAAAAGGAACAGGATATTGGGATCTCCCTCTCACCTGAACAATGTAACAATATTCTCTGCTTTGGCCACAAATTGAATATTGCCAATAAGATTCAAGAGTCAGGTTTTAAACTTTTTTCAAGATGGTACAGGTTACCTACAGCCATTCACAAATGCTATCCATAGGTTTCTCCAGTTGGTTGTTGGGGTGGGATTGAAAATGATATCTTTTGAGAATGTCTTTTTCTCAAAATCTTCTGGGGTGGAGTTGAAGCATATACTAAAATACTAAAATACTCACAGATCTTTGGATGACATTGGGCCCTTGGTGAACTGCTAGAGAGCCCATTCTGATCTACATTACCTTCTCACTTCCTGATTTTGATATCCTTCATCAATGGTTATCAACGATTGGCTTTTAGATTGACAACCCAGACCCTTGACCCACTTCTCTTTTTCCTCTTACTCTCTCTTTCCTTCCCTTTCCTACTCTCTTCTTTCCCTTTCCCCTTGTCTTGTTTTGTTGCCTCACGACTCCCAGATAGACCCATAGAGGGTCCACTGTTTCACATAGCTAACCGAATATGTTCTTAATATACTATATCTGGACGGTCCAAGGGCTGCACCATGTGTTTCTTGGATTTTTACTATGAATGTACATCATCTATTTACTATCTAACATGTGCACAATTACATATTATTGATGTTGGGCAGTTGTCAATTGTTATCTTTGACTCATTTTTTTTTTCATTGTATCCCTGAAACTCAATAAATACATATTCAACCTAAAATACTCACTGATATTGAATTGGGGAACAATCCCACTGCGTTCCTACTACACCTAAATCACCTATCTAGAAAGAGATACGGAACTATGGCTCAACTGGCTATGTACACTTTGCATCAATAGATACAAATACAAATTTAAAGGTAGTAGATGGGGAATTTGCTTTAAATTGTTGTTTCTTACATTGTTCTTATAAAGTTTTATATTTTTTTGTTCTGCACACAATGATAAGATTGTTTACATCAAAAAACATTGCCCATTCCAATTTAAATTATGAACTGGCAGAAGGTGGATTATCTTTCAGTAAACATATTTATTGGATAAATATCCCATAATATAGGATAATCTTGTTTGTTATTGGAATCTCTCTATTATGTTGTATGTGACTGCTGATGAATGAATCTTGTTAAATGTGATTGGCAAGTCCTCTTTGAAAATGAGTGAACCTTATAAGCTATGGAAGGTGAACATTCTCCATAAATTAAATGTGTATACCCACATTTGTAATTATTGGTGTTTTACAAGCTGGCCATCAGATCAGATCATAAACTCAAACTAGATGTCAGCCTTGATGTGCTCTTCAATAAAATAAGAACGTTTATTTAAATTATTTTAGTGTTCTGAATCCCACCATGCTCCTACATCCTTTGTACACTTAGCTACAAAGTCAGACAGGGCATCCTCTGTGGCCGTCCAACAACTCAGCTAGCAAGGGGAAGACTACTTTATAACAGGTGTATGTCTCAGCTCCAAACACTTGGTCGCCACAATAACCAGCAAGAGGCTGACATCCCATTCCTTTCACTACTGCTTTTCTCAGGCAAGTGCTTGGATCAGGAGCTACTGGTCAATCAACCGTCTCCTTGCTAGATATGTTGTTGGAAGGGGGAAGGCAGGAGGGTGCTCTGTCTGACCCCAGAGCCTAGCTGCTTATCTAAAGGCATATACTGTGTAGGGAAAAAAGATAAATATTGATTTAGGAAATAATTTTGATTTACTCTCCTGCACTTCATCATTTCGTTTCGAAGTTCTCCAATGATTTCCATCTAGCATATAGTAAAATCTCTGGCATTTATTTACCTTCTAACCTATATATACAACTGGCAAACAGATTTATAGAATTTGAAGAAAAAATGAGAAAAACTGATCTGGCCGACAACATTTGATTGCATTATTTGCCGTTACAGGGTATGTTACCCTAAAAATTATTTTTTTCAGCCATGTGTACTTGGCTGTGAATATACAGTACTTTATTACAGTTTGTTTTCTAAGCATGGGCATCTTTTTGTCAACAACTTGGTTGATTCTGCCAGTCCTCTTGCTTCCCTACTGCAAACTGACCATGCCAAGCACATCCATGCCTCAATGGTCAGTTTGCATCCGTTGGCTTGCATTGAAGAGCTACAAGATGCCGTGCCCACACGGCAAGCCTGCATCTCCTGTAGTCTGTTTGCCGGCCACACAACCTGCCCATCTCTGTCTGATTGATTGACAGGTGCTCCTGGCCAGAGTTTTGCTGTCAAACTGCAGCTTGTAGCTTTGTCAGTAGGAGGAGTTTAAAAAGAAACCACCTTCTGGATTGCAGTGCCAGCTCTTGGAGAGCAGCGCACACAGCAGGAACCTACTTCCTGCTGTATGTGATGATATATAGTATATATAGTATCTGCCCTCCACTATCAAGGCGTTTGGAAGCTTTGCAATCATGCAACCACAAAAAACCCCACTTTACAGTCCTTTTTTAAAAATATTAATTTTGAATATAATGTTAGCACATTATTTACTGTGTTACTGTAGAATTCAATGTATGTGTATGCAGATACACTTTAACTTGTATGGTAACAAGGAACAACCATTTGCATTTAAAGTGGAGTTCCACCTGAAAAAAAATAAAAATTATAAGTCAGCAGCTACAAAAACTCTAGCTGCTGACTTTTAAAATACAGCCACATACCTGTCCCTCGGTCCAGCGGTGTCCTCACAACCTCTGTTTTCTGTTTTTGGTAGTCTCTCCCTGGCGCCAGCATCTTTAGTGTGGGCACCCTGCTGTGACAGCTTGCTGCTTCACACAGCCGGGTAAGAACTGCGCATGCACGAGAAGCGCTGCGCTTTGTGAATGGCCCCATAGTCTTCTGGGACCTGTCACGTGTCCCAGAAGACTAGGGGAAGAGGGGGGGGGGCAATTTCTGCTTCCGATCACCTAGGCGATCGCAGCGGAAGTGGGAGCGGGTACCTGTCAATTTAGAGTACCAGCTCTTCCCCACCGCTCCCCAAAGGTGCCAATCCTTAGGAGCGGGGGACAAAGGCTTAAAGCGGAACTTACCCTTTTTGGTGGAGCTCCACGTTAAGTTCATTTTGATGTATTAGTACATATCTTAGATAAAATTCCACTGTACAGGGAGAGTTAAAACTACACTTTTGCTCATCAATAGACATTAATACAGAAAAGCTACAAAAAAGTTATCTACAATGCTTCAACGAGGTGGTCCAAGGCTTTTGGACATAACATCCCAGCTGCTGACCTCCAATGTTCTTGCTTAGGATGGTTTTGCTAGTTCAGCAGTTCAGAGAATTCAAAGCTGAATCCAAGTAGAAAACAGTGTATATTTCAGTTATATATTTGTTGCAATTTTTAAAGCCCATTCACACTTTTGTGTTATGTAATGCACATTAACACAACACCTGGCAATACACCTGCTCTATATGCGGTGTGTTAATAAAGGGTCACACATGTTTTTTTTATCCATTGTGGTGTGTTTGCAGCCCTTTCATAAAGAATGGACTGGCTTTATGCAATGCATGTTAATGTGTGCTATAATGCTCCCTAACCAATGTGCATTAATGCACTGCAATTGAATGCTTTAGTGCGAATGAGCCTTCAGTATATTACTGTATAACTCTAACTAGTATAAGTACCCAGATTCTGTCTTTATATGCCTCTTATGCAATCCCATGTACAGCAGTATACAGGCTATTTAAAGTGGAAGAAAAGCCTAAGTCTAACTATACTTAAAAATGTTCCCTCCACCCTCCTCCTACCTATCCTGTCTAATTTGTATATGTAGCACTACCCCCTTAGGAGTCGCTAAGTTATTTTTGGGCTCCCTGTTGTTCTGGACCCCTCTCTGAAAGCCCAATCCCTGCTGACACCACAGGATTCCTTTGACCAGAGTAAAATACCACCAGAAAGCAGACTCACATACAGATTAGAGTAAACTGATGTGAGGTTTATATTAAACTTCAATGTAGGCTTGGTTGAACAGTACAACATGGTATTGATACTTGGAATAGCAATTGTGACTTTTAGTGGGGGGCCCATGGAACATAGCTCACTTTGGAGGGGTGGGGAGACCCCTGTCTCAGCTCCCCATATCCCTCCTATGTCTGAGTCATCCTGTGCCTGTTAGAGGTACAGGGTGGAATGTCCTAATATTGTGTAGACATGTATAGGTGGGGTGTGGGGGCTGTTCATTGTTTACTGCCATGTGGTGCATCCCATTGTTCTATTGTGTGTCTTTCTTGAGAGCAAACTATTATGGGATGTATGTGTTTGTGTATTGGCTTGGTGGGGGGTGCCTGCTGATGTGTCTCAGGTCTATAGATTTGGTTTGCCCCGCCCTGTGTCCATATGCAAGGAAGTGGGTTGTTCCCTTGAATGTTTATATCTTGTGGCTGTGTTAAAATAAAGCAGTCTAGCTCCTGGTTTCCTTCAAGTCTGGTGCTGTCTCGTCTTGTATGGCCATCGGTGATGTCCGTGAATCTGTGTTCGGACAGGGAAGCGGGAGTCTAACGGAAATACCCTAGTGCAGTCGGGGTCCTGTTCTATTACATTAACTCTTAGCAGCTCTAAGCAAAGAAACAACACATACAGCAGAATCTCAACCAGTGTTAGCAGGCCTGCTTTTCAGAAGTTAACCCAATACCTTTGACCTGAGGTGGTGTAACCCCTAGTGAGCAATAACAGCTAGCAACAATTAGACTAGCTCACGTTCGACCCTCAAAATCTGAGGGCAATGTTTAAATCTGAGATAAAAGAGCATTTTGACCAGGGTAGTCAATTTCCCTTTAAATGCAGTGATGATTCTGCTGCACACTTGCTAGGGCCCAGTTGGTGCACAAATAGACAGTGATGTAGGTGACAATTCCTGATAGGAATAATACAAAGTGGAGGTAGAAGAAAAGACAAATACTTTCCCTTTAAGTGACACTTGACTTGGGTGTTGTTTCCTTTAATGCACTGGAAAAAGGGCAGTCTTAGGCAAATAGTGTCAAACAGGCAAATGGGCTTGTTGGCAAAAGGGTGACTCCACTCTGGGATGCAGTAACCAATGGCAATGATGGTAGAAGTTCCTTTATAAGGGTAGGCCAATGATTAAGGGAACACTGATGTGATTGGGCCTGCAGAAGGTGTGCACTGTGATCAACTCTAATTATTGGACTGTGCTGCAATATGTGTTCCTCTGTAGCGGCTATGGGAACTAGGCCACAACACATGTTAACTGAATGCAATGTCCACAACTGTGTGCAGGCAAAGTAGCAGATATGAAGAGAATGTCAGTGACCTCTTGCTTAACTGGTGTATGGGACTCTCTCATCCGATCGGTGGCTTCCAGCAGGTCCTGGCTTTCTCTCTCTCTCAGCGGATGGAGGCCTGCACAGATTCTCTGCCCTCATGTGCAGAATTCCATCTCCTCACTGCACTCTGGGTCACATGCTGACAGACTGTCTCACTGAACAAGGTGGCAAGGTCGGCGGCTCCTCCTTGCCTCTCCTCTCTCTGACTCTACGGCCTGGTTTGGCTTTCCGGCAGTCAGAACATCTTTCTTTTTCTCTCCAGCTCTCTCCTCTCTCACTTCTGGTCATGTGATCCTGCAGCTCCAGCTTTCCTGGCTCAATGTGCACCAAAAATGGCTGGGCAATAGGAGCCCATGGGTGACTTCATAGCTCCAGGAATTCCCAGTTGTTGTCGAGTGCTCTCTAAGCCAGAACTGCAGGATCCTGCAATTCCTCCCATCACTGCTACACCTTGACCAGTTCAGATTCACCTCGGATAGAGAATGTAGGGACAGTACACAGGGCGATCCTAACGCCATACATTATTCCCACATGTTGCATGTAACCTTGTTGCTCTTCTCCACGGATGTGGAGAAGGCATTTGATAGGGTTGCATAGACATTTCTTGTGGGCCACCCTGGACCATATCGGCATGGATCTCAGTGCTGTGCTCAACTCCATCTGTACGGGTTAAGGCCTATGAGGTGCTCTCTGATACGTTTCTTATTTGTAACAGGAATCGGCAGGGATGCCCCCTATCTCCTCTGCTTTTCATCCTAACAACCCTTCCTGAGAACCATCAGAGCTCATCTGGATATTAGGAGCATCTCTGTTTAAGGTGCAGAACACAAACTAACCGCCTACAGGGATGATCTGATCTGTTTTGTGACCTCCCCTGCTATCTCCTTGCCATCCCCGCTACAAGAACTTTACCGTTATGAAACTCTTTTGAATTTTAAGATAAATTATTCTAAATCAGAGGTTCTAGGTATCACCGTTGACCATTCTTTTCAACAGTAGTTAGCATCCCAGTTCCACTTCAAGTGGACTACTTCTCGTATAAAAGATACCTGGGAACAAATATCCCTGTTGACCTATATAGAATATTTGAACTCAACTTTGCTCCTTTGGCACGGAAAATAAGATCAGACCTCCAACAATAGGACAGGGAAGTATTTACTTGGTTTGGACATATCAACATCCTAAAAAGAAATGTTATGCCCAGGCCTAACTACCTATTCCAAGCCCTTCCGATAAAACTCCCATATTTTTTTTAAAGGGGCTGCACTACTCTTTTCTGAAATTCGCCTGGGCAGGCAAACCAGCCGACTGAGATCCATTCTTTCCCTGTCCAAGGCAAGAGGGGGAACAGGATTTCCTGATCCTGTTAAGTACCATGAAGCTGCACACCTGGCAAGGGTAGTCAACTGGTGCGTAACACACAACACAAAGCTATGGGTTCACTAGGAGCAAGCGACCGCTAATATGCCCCTGGCAGGATTCCCATGGCACCCAGTCAGTTCCCTTCCAACACTAATTAGGTAACACCCATTCATGGGAGCTGCTCTTGAGGTGACCAAGACAGTTTTCAAAAGTAGTACTATCTCCCCAAACCCTAGCCATATGACCCATATAGTAGGTACGAGTGAGTTTCAACCTGGAATTCATGACCCATGCTTCTTCTCACTTTTAAAGAGAGGCCATTTCAGACTATTACACTTTTCCAGTAATCACTACCTGATGACGAATCATGAGATAGAGCCGGCCTTTTCACAAAATCTAGATTTTCTCAGACGGGCACAATTGGTTCATACTTGCGTTCCCTTCCTGCTGAGTTTGGCACAGTGTGGCATTCATTATCTCATCTATTTGCTTCCTTGATGGCTCTGGATGCACCACAAGAGCTCCCCTTCCTACAGCATTGGGAATGGGACACGAACACAACTTTTTCTCAAAAACAGAAGGAAAGAATCTTGCTCTTTGCCCACAGGGCCTCATTGGCCAGTATGTACCAGAGCCTAATGCCTTCGATTTACCTGTGTTTGCTTTTATGTTTTGGTGTATGATGTTTGCTGAATTTCATACTGATGTGTATGTGTTGGAAAGACATGTTATACCTCTTCTTTAAAATAAAGAATTAAGAAAAAAAAAACAAAAAACTGCAGGATCACGTGATTACATAGGAGTGTATTAAAAATAAGTAAGTACACACATATTTTTATACAGTTTAGGCAGGATAGGTAGGAGGAGGAACATTTTCAAGAATAGATAGACTATTCTCCCACTTTAAGGGAGAGGCGTTAGTCTAAGCAAAGTCTAACAAAAACAGGTTAGGGCTTCAACAAAGTCAAGAGGCAACAAAGGGGTGTGGATGGGTAAGTATTCCTTCATGGACAATGTGACACTTTGTCTTCTATCTGGGCACTCTTATACTGTATAGAAAAAATTAATTAAAGCAGAACTTCATTCAAAAGGGGAAATTCCACTTTCTCTCTCCCCCCCCCCCACACCCCCACTTTTGGAAACTTTTATTTTTGGGGGGGAAGTTGGTGCCTGGTTTTGACAGGTACCTGTTCCCTCTTCTGGTTGGATAGCCAGGACAGATCCAGTGGAAGTTCTCCCCCTCCTTTCTGCAACCTTCTGGGATGCGTCACAGATCCCAGAAAACTGTAAAGCTATTCAGAAAGTGCAGTGCGACTCGCACATGTGCAGTGGGAAGCCGGCTGTGAAATCCCAAGGATGCACAGACAGTTTCCCTTAGTAAACATACTGGCACCAGGGACCCAAAGACCGATGGAGAACCAACTCAGGTGAGGATGGCACTGTATTCCTGGACAGTATTTGTAGCTTCTAAATTTTAATTTTTGGGGGCGAGAATGAAGCTCCTCTTTATTTATTTTCCTGCTGATTTCCTGTTCTTTATATATTCGCAAGTTTTTTTATATATTTATATGTTGCACTTTATTGTTCCACTTGATACATTTACTTTGTGTCTTTAACGCTGCACCTTTTTATACATATACAGTACTTGTAGGGATTGTTACCTATACCTTGCGTGCTAGCTGCTTTATTATTGTCACTAGCGCTCGCCTGTATACTACATATTATGATAAAACACTTGCAGTTCTTTTTCAGTCTGTGACATCACATATGGGGCTTGGGCTTATTATCACGACTTCATTCAACTCTCTGCACTGCAGTGCAATATGGAGAGGTGTGCAGACATATTCCATTTTACGCAACGCACCTCAAAGCAGCGTTATTGTTTTCTGAGTACCCTTGCGGTCAGCATGCGTTGTTCGATGCAGATCTGCACAACTCAATAGATATGTGTGAATGGACACTTTGTATCCTTCTATGTGCACAATCTTTAGCTGGCAACAAAAGTTGGGTATTGTAGTCCCACATGACTTAGCACAGTTTGCCTTTCCCAAGTCTTTCTTTAATGCTTCATCCCTTCTTGATTGCTGGCAATTTCCTATCTCTTCGTCACAGAGGTAATTAACATTTTTGCTTGACTGTGTGACTGCTTCCTGTGATTATATAACAAAGAATCACCATTTATAGACCAGAGCTGTTTGCTTGCATGGAGCATGCCCTGTTTAAATAGATCACAGATGTCTTCAGTGAGATCTGTGTCCTGTAATCACAGAATTTGTTGGCAGAGAAGCCTTGTGAAAAAAAAAAAAAAAAACTGGGTCAGTATGTTGACAAACAGCATAACTCTCTCGATTCAGCCTCATCTCCCTTTCCTCCCATCTAAGCTTCGGTTAAGTGATGCTGATCACAGGACATCCAGAGGAAAGACTTGCCACTGATGAATGGACAGCAACAAGCAGGTATAATAAATGCACGTTTCCTCTCAGTATAAATGCTTGGTTCACCAAGCTAACACACCAGGATACGGATCCTTCATTTAAAAAAAATGACAGTTGTATTCAGCCGAGAGCCAATGAGATCTGAAAATGACAGTCACATGTTTGAAAAAAAAAGATCCTAATCTTTGTGTTAAAGTTGAACCAAAGCTGACCATACACTAGTAGGATTTCATTTTATTTTTTAAAGAGGTATTAAACCGAAAAGAAAAGATTTGTTATATTGCAGCTAATTCTTAGAGGTGCTGGCTGCATTATTTTTAATTTTTAGGCTTCCTTTCTTCTATTCTAATTTGGTGATCCAGCCAGTAAGTCTGTTATTTTTCAAAAGAGAG